ACTTCAAGTATTTAAACAAATTTTACTAGAGCTGTCAAAACGGGTCAGCCCAGCCCTACCCCGCCCAAGCCTCATGGGCCAAAGAATTTGATGGGCTGGGATTGGCTGACCCTTCATTTCAAAGGGCTGTAAAATGGTCAACCCGGCCCAACCCCAGAAGGATCAAGGGCTGGGGCGGGCCGGCCCTTTTTTTTTTTATGTCAAATCAATGTCACAAACAGTAACATTGTTTCAATAATTCTAAATAAAATCTAGCAATAAATATTTAAAGAAAAAAAAAAATCTCTTAAGTAAATAATAACTAAAAAACAAACTAGTAAACTAAAGAACACTTCTGACTAAAACTTTTGTTAGCAATACATAATGACTTAAAGTATTTTGTTAAATGAAATCAAGAAACTAATTAATTGTTCAAGCCATAAAACGTTCTATCACATATAATATAAATAGTGTTTACTATCCAAGTTTTATATTCAAAACTAAATAATAAAGAAATTCATGAGGTAAGCTCCTTAGAAAAACTCCACGAACACTTATTTAGGTTTTCTAGTTTTTTATTCTTATTTTTTTAATATTTATTTTAATTAAAATTAAATAATTTGGCCTATGGGCCGACCCCTGCCCGGCCCCAATCAAGCGCCTCAAGGACTAAGGGCCTAAAAGGGTTGAGCTTATAAGCCCCAGTTTTAAATGGGCTTGTAAAATTCTATTCCAACCCTACCCCAATAACGGATTGGATCGGACCGGCCCCATGGGCTAAGCCCTTTTTGACGGCTCTAAATTTTACAATCAAATTTAATGAGTTGTCGATGTATTGATCAGCCTGATGTATTTATCAAATAATGTAAATAGTGAGGAAAGGCCCTACGTGCATGCGGAAAGAAAATGCAACCTTTGCAAGTAGTCTTTTCTATTCATTTTCTTGTTTATTTGCCCTTTAACTTTATAGGGTGAAATGTATTGTAGGGTTTCTATGCTTGGGATTAATCCTACATCTAAGTTGATTCTTCATTTCTCTTTTTCTCATTACAATTTACAATCAACTTTTTAAGGTCATCATAAGTTGATTGTTGATTTTTCTGTCTATTTTCCAGCTAAATTATTACTTTTCTTTTAATTATCTTTTTAACAGTTTTTCTCTTTAATTAATTTTATGTTATACACATTTTACTTGGGACTTCGCTTTTTTTTTTTTTGCAAAGGCACCCTCTCATTAAAGAAAAGGGGGTCTTGGAGAATCCTATGCCACCCTATATATTCTTTCATTACGGTATCATGTTCATTTGAACTCGATGTAATACATAATTATATAATGTAAAATCCACAAAAATGCAATAGATATTATGAGTCTCATCAATAGTTGTACTTATAAAATATAAATTTTGAATCCGCGTGTAATATGTATGGTGATGACCAGGGGCGGAGGCAACAAATAATGAGGGGGTTCATCGGCGAAAAATATTACTATTTATACATGGTTAAAATTATTTTTTAGGTATGTATAATAGATGTCGAAACCCCTTCCACTAGTTCGTGTGTTTACTTCTCAGATTTTGAATCCCCTTATTAAAATTTCTAACTCCGCCACTGGTAATGATTAATTAGGATCTCCCTAGTGCATGCTCATAACTCTAATGAATTATGTATAATATAATATATTAGCTATTCCACTTTTTCTTTACTTGGAAATAATGGTTACTCACTTCTATTTTTTTTTCTTTTGATAGGAAAGAAAACTAAGTTCTAGCTAGTAAATTGTAAATACTTTAATTTAAAACATTATATACCATGCGATCAAGGGCACATATCAACCTTAACTAGTAGGGTGTAGGGTGGTATATATAAGAATTAACTTAAATAGTCGTCTATTCAGCTTGAATTAAATATAGTCTACAAATGTATAATTTTATATAATTGGTGTTTAATCTAATATGTATCGACTAGAAAAAGTAAATAACGACCGGTTAGGAAAAGATAAAAGGATATTTTTTAAATTTAAGTTTTAAATAGGGTAGTGGAAAAGAGTTTCTCTTTTGAGCAACCCCAGCTCAAAGGTCTCATGAATTTTCTTTATTTTGGGGTTTCTATTCTTTTTTATTCATATGCCAGAGTATATGTAGGGAAGGATTTGTTAATTTATGAGTTGTTTGCTTGGTGGTTATAAATATGTGGGACTCTTATTTGTCAGTCACAATCTTGTTTATAGACAACTCTTCAAATCCATCATAATACTTTTGTAAAACAACTCGAGCAGAGGATCTTTCGAAAATGGTTTTTCTACTTTTATGAGGTTGTGATAAGATTTGCGTACACTCTGCCCTCTAGACCCACTTGTGGATTTCACTGGGTATGTTGTTGTATTTGCTTGTAATTCCCATTGAAGCGATACATCGCATAAAGTGATAGACGAAACTGCCATGAAATGATTTATTAGTAAATTAATAAAGTACTTGGGAGTGACATATATACATCACATATCTGGGAACAAGTAACAACTCTGGTAGCTGATCTTAGGCGTATTTATATGCCTAAGTTGTTAATATATGCCTATGAATTGATTAAAGTAACGAATGATCTTGAGTCTATTAGCTTGATTTCGTTAGACTTGCGATATTATGCACTAAAACATGTGATTAGAGGTTTCAGGAACTCTCAAGGAGAAATTGAAAGAAAAGATGCAAGGATATGCTGAAAAGAAGCTAAGGCTGAAGGCCCCAGGGCCAGGCGCACTGCTAGGCGCGAGGCGCCAAGGGCCAACATTCAGAGAGGCCTCTTAGGCGCTCTGAGAGGTGCGACGCGCCAAGGCCCAACATTCTGGGGCCTTTCTCAGGCGCTCTGAGAGGCGCGACGCGCCAGGATGGAAACCTCAGAGGTGAAGTTTGGGCGCGATGCTAGGCGCGACACGCCAGGGGGATCCCAACTTTTCTAGCTTAAAAGTGTTAAAAAAGGATTCTTAATTGTAATAGACTTTGGCTCTAATTTTCCTACCATTATAAATAGACTCTTAGGGCTCCATAATTAGGGTTGGACGTTTGATTTAGTGTGCAAGAGCAAGAATTCAAGTTTGTAATAGGTTTTAATCCCTTAACTCTTCTATTTTTCGGAAATTGCATGAACTATTGTATTTTCTTGTTTTCTAATAGCATGAGTAGCTAAACGCCCTAGTTTTGGGGCTGTAGCTATGAATTAATTGTTGATTATTTGAGGTTGTTGAATTAATTTTCGGTTGTCAATACAAGTTACTTCTATATTCTTGTTTTAGTATTTTATGCTTGCGCACCATAAGATAAATCTATTGTCTAATCTTAAAATCGGGAGAGGAGAGGTTAGATAGACCAGAGAATATAGAGAGATCGGTCCACCCATTAAATTGAGGTGATTAGTGTTCAGGAGTGACGCCCAGACGAACACCTTGCTTGGTTACGAAATAAGATGAAATATAAATGCTCGCCAGTTAGTCTATTTATCCCCGCTCAACGATGTAGTTAGATAGCTAACTGGGGTAGGCGACGAGAGGAGTATAACCCGGATCATATCATCAAATTCAAATAAAAGTGACATACAATTATATAAACACTCAATTTTCAAAATTATTACGTTTCTCCTATAAATGCTCTATTAATGCATTACGGAGTACAAAATGAGCATTTTTGTCCTTAATTTTTTTTATGTCTAGCTAAAATTTGTTCAAACCGGAGATTTTATGCCTACCTAATTTTTTTCCGAATAGTGCTAAATCTGGAAACGACCTACCGGATTACTAAATTGTTGTTGTGTTAAATTAATTATTATGTTATGTATTGTATTTTATCTTGTATTTAAATTATTATGTTATGTATTGTATTTTATCTTGTATTTAAATTATTATGTTATGTATTGTATTGCTATCTTGTATTTAAATTATCATATCATGTATTGTATTTTTAAATTAAAATTTTCTTCTTGCCATTTTAATTTTGTGTATTCTTTATAATGAAAATTAATAATAAAATAAAATTTTATTATTGACGAAAATTAGATTTTTTTTTAAAATACTATTAATTTAAAATTAAAAGTAGTGTATATTAAATAATATTTTAAAAAAATATTATGTTACGTTTAAAAAGAATTATGAATATTAAATATTATTAATGTAATTATATGTAAAATGATATGTTAATTAGAAAGTAATAGAAATAATAATAAAATAATGAAAAAGTGAAATAGAGAGTGTGAATAGTAGTTCTCTAAATTTGAAGAACTACTATTCAACTCTCTAATTTTGAAGAATAGAGAGTGATTGGAGTGCCCATTCTCTAATTTACTCTCCAAATATAGAGAATGGAGAGTAAAATAGAGGTGAGTTGGAGATGGTCTGATATATAAAGGTGGATCTAATATCTGAAGTTAATACACGATCTAAGCAAACGCTACTAGATTCCCGTGAACCTCATGTACATCGTACTCTAGATCCGTGTTGATAAAGTGACAGATAAGTTCAGGAAGCAAATGTTTATGTGAGAATGAAACAATTCAAATTAACATTCAAAGTGTTAAATGTTAAGCCAACAAACTTCATTATACATCGATCTTTTGTTATAAAAATTACGACTTAGTTTTATCCAGTTAGCTAAAATATGACAACGAAATTGGCCAACAGGAACGTGTCAAATTAGGCCTTGCGTCTAACTCACACTCCAGAAGCTAGCTCATAGAGAGGAGGATTGTCCAGGCTGTACAAGGAGCTCAGGATTCCATTCAGGGGAAGAGAAGGCAACCAACACTAGTATAACACTGACAAATCAACATGTTCCGCTGCAAAACAAATATGAATGAGTGGAAATGTACTCCTCGCGTTGATTTGTTGGTCATTCAACTAATAGTTATTATCTCAGAAAGTCACTTTCTTTGTTGAAAGAAGATTGAAATAACTAAGAAAGACGACTTTTTGAAGTAATAACTATTAGTTGAATGACCGTCTGACAAATGAACATAGTAAGGATTAACATACCAGATAAGAGTCAAGGAGATGATATTCTATCCCAATCAGGAGGTTGTATAGTAACTGTGAACGCATCATTTGCCATATCTTCACGTTTCGTTGTTTGAATTTCCTCTGCTGAATTAGCAACAGACCAGCTGCACCAATTTACTTCAATGCTTTTTAGAGAAACAACGTCCTCGAAATAAGAAGGGATTTTCTCAAGCCTCTTACAGTTTGTTAAAACCAAACGTTCAAGACTAGGGAACGAATCCTCAGAAATCGACCATTGAGCAAAGTTGAGGCTGTCCAGTTTTAAGTATCTGAGTTCAGGGAACTCTGTATCATTCACATTCCACTGAACGCCTTCAAAGGCTTTGTTTAGTAACTTTAGAACCTCCAAGTTGCACAATGTTCCAACGATTGAGATTTCGCTCCAAGGTAGACAAAAATTTGACAAAGTTAACTCCCTTAGCTCCAAAGGGAAATTGAATCCTCGTAGACATTCAACTGGACAGTTGTTGGAAAACAAATATTTGAGACGACTTAGAAAGTCTAATCTAGGAATCAGAACACATTCTCCCCTCCATTTCCTTGAGCAACCAACTATACATTTTAGCTTTGTCAAATTTGGCATCTTTCTCAATATAATCTCCGCGTCTTCACCAAAAGAGACGTATGGAGTGGAAAAGGTTTGCAAGTTAGCTAACTGTGAATTAGCAAGGGATTCACTCATATTGTCGAGATTAAATGAAGCACGGTCATTTACATGTATATGCCTCAACTTAGTCATATTCAAAAGTGAGCATGGTAATGTTACCTGTCCTCGCATTCCTTTTATAATGAACGTTTCAAGATTCCAAAGCTTAGCTATAGATGAAGGAATTGAATCTGCTCCAGTCCGAGCAGCAAAGTACTTCATGTGAATTAAAGACTCTATTTCACTTGGAAAAGTATAACCAATGTTGATTGATTCCAAATCCAATACCTTAACAAGTTTGAAGCTGTTAAGGATGAAGGAGATATCACGCGCCATTGTAGTATACTGATCACCACTGGTGGCATTGAATAGTAAAGAGCGGATACTTGAGCAATGTGGACGCCACTCAGCAAACTCATCCCGGCAAGAATGTATGGACAAACGATATTCTTCATGCTTGTCAGGATAGATACGAGCATCCGCATCATCATCTCTGATAAACAAGAAACATAAAATGTGAGAATTGGGATGAAGATTGTTACAATAATATAAATCCCTCCATTTCAATTTGTTTGATTACATTCCTTTTTTGGCAACTTTTTAATTCTAAACTTTCCACATGACATGTTTAAAACTACAAGATTAAATGATATTTTGATACATTCTACGTATCTTTAGTTTAAGACCACAAGATTCAAAAGTCTTCTTTATTTTTCTGAAACTTCATATCAAGTCAAAACTAGACAAACAAATTGAACTGAGTGAGTAGTATATATAGTTCTTTTGTACCTATAGATCCAGAGCAGAAAATTCTCCTGTTTGGCCTTCTCCAAACAGAATTTGTGCAATAGATCATGAACACGACACGTTTTCAACTTGCCATTGAACCTTTTCTCCATGTCCATGACTAGATTTCTACTAATAAGGTTTTTCAAGAAATCTTGTGCAACATCTTCTAGTCCTTTTTCCTTATTTTCAAGTACGAAACCTTCTGCCAACCATAACCTTGTCAATTTCGAGACGTGAATGCTTTTGCCCCTCAAAAATCCTCCAAAATACAAAAAACAAGGCTTCAGATGATGTGGTAAATTCATGTAACTGAATCCAATTATCGACATGCTCTCTTCCAAGCTACCGATGTTCAGTGCATCTAGACTTTGTTCTACTTCTTTCCACAAATTTGCTTTGTTATTTTTCTCTTTCAGAACACCGGCTACTAGCACAATGAAGAGAGGCAATCCGCCACAACTTTTTGCTATCCGAAAGCCCACATCTCCAAGTTCAGATGGGCAGTTGTCTCCATGGAAAACCTTTTTCTGTAATAACTTCCAACTCTCATCATCTCTCAGTAAAGGAAGATCATGGGGATTACTTTTACTTTCACATTTAGCATATTGCGCCACCTCAGAGAGCCGGGTAGTTAGGATTATTCTACTACTATTTTTAATACCCTGAAAGCACATATGTAAATAGTCCCATGCTTTTGTGTCCCATACATCATCAATGAGGATTAAGAATCTCTTCATCAACAAAACTTGACGCAGCTCTTTAGCTAATTGATCATCTGCTTTCTTCGTGTGATCAGAAGGCTTAACATCATTCAAAAGAGTAAGCAACAATTCTCTCCATGAATATGATTGAGTCACATGACACTTTCCATGAACATCAAAGTAACCGGCAACTATCTGATCATTGTAAATCTGCTCGGCAAGAGTAGTCTTGCCCAAACCAGGCATGCCTACTATTGAGATAACGTCTAGCTGAGACGATCCACCAAGTAGCTGCTTTTTTATTTTCTCCATCACATCCTGGAAAAGCACCATTTCTTCATTTTCTGTCAGAGTATTAGCTAATAAAGATGGCTCAATAAGATAAGTGGAAGTCTTTGCAACTTCATGCAATGTCACTTCAATATGCTTTCTTCCAAATATCTCACTAACATCTTTATTAAGAAGCTTTATATTCTCGACAACTTCAGAAATCCAATGAACTTTGTACCAGAGTGGGTAGGAAATCGACAAGCAAGAGTCGATAACATACTCACTTTTGTATGCCATTTCAGTAACACTTGTTACAAGACCATAAACATCATCATGCTCACCATTGTTCTCTGAAAAATGACTGAGAAAAGATCTTAGATGTATCAACTCTTCCTTGACTGATCCGATCTGATGCTTCAATTCGGTAATTAACTCAAGCTTAGAATGTAACAGCTCATCCAACTTGCCCAAAAAACAATTGAGGAATCCTAATCCACTGGTCTTAGAGAAGCCAAAGAGTGAAGAGTCTGGGACTTTGAAACAAATCATTTTCACCTCTTCTTCAACAAACTTAAGCATTTGTTTGACATCATAAAGATATAACAAGTGATACCAAACAGGATTATCACAACTGACAGAGAAGAAAATGACATACTTTGAACTATTAACGACCTCTTGAACACGTTCTATGAGGTCCTTGAGTTCCCTATGCATGTCGCGGTGCTGTACAATATGTTCAAGGAAAGAGCCCAAACACACCAGATTTTCTTGGACGACAGGTATTTGATTCTTCATAAAAGAGATCGAACCAGCATCACAGGTGAACACCCTGTCCAGATTGTTTAGTAAAAACTTGACAAGGCCTTCTACATTTGTCTTAGTCATGTTGCAAGGTGATGCATCCAAATCTTCAAAGCATACGCTTCTTACCTCTGCCTTGATGGACTTGATCTCACGTAGCAACACAGCTAATGAAAGACTCATTTCCTCACAACAAGAACCACTGATTAGTACTGCATTGTGGGCAGTCACTTCAGCATGCACTAGAAGATCATGCAATTTGTAAAGCTCTTTGTGTTGCCTGAGAAGATCTATAAAAAAAGCTCTGAGGAAAACAAGCTCTTCATGAGTATCTTCAATCAGAGCTATAATTTGAGCTTCCAACGTGGCTTTGTGCTTTAGCAGATGTGTCAAGTTTCCCTCAGACTTGATAAGCTTGAAAGCCACTGTCAAAAGCTTGATCTCTAGATTGACTTTCTTACTTTCATTTCTATTTACAGCATCCTCGTAAGATGAACGGATAACATTTGTAGCCTCAAGTGCAATAGTTTCAATTTCTGTCAAGAGATCATTTTGCTGTATGCATTCAATGTACTGATTTGGGGGATCAACAAGAAATGTTACCAGGAGCAACAACCCTTGGTAAAACATTTTCCTTTTATCAGTAAATACAACATTGGTTTCATTATTTGGTAACACTTTGAGGCTGTCAAGGATGTACTCATGAAGCCCTATGAAAATCTCATCCATCTTCGAGCTACCTAAGGACGATGTCTTTGAGGATTTAAGAATGCTGAAATATGAATCAATGACCTCAAAGTCAAAAGGAAAAAAGTTCAGCAGATTTATCATAATGAGATGGTTCGATGATGACGATGCAGAAGCGATAGGACACATCTGTCTAATTGCTGCCTTGATAAAGTTAAACTTAAGAAGCAGTTGGAAATGTGAGAGATTTATTTCCTTAGCTGAGCCTCCTTGCTTTGAATTATGAGAGAGAGAATTGATGACAGATCCTGCTTCGGTGGTAACAGATTGTATCAGGGACAAAACATCAGTTGTCTTTGTTTGCTCGTTGCACTGATTCAATGAATCCATGAGAAAGTTTCTCAAGAATATCAACTCCTGCTTAACATTCTCGATCATATCGTTCAAAGGAGCTACCAAGTGTTCATGTTTTGTTAGCTCAATCAAACTTCTCTCTACCTTGATATGATTAAGCTTCACTTGCAAAGGAAATAGCACATGGTCTGGTTCAGTAGTCTTCTCACAACAGGAACTGACAGCAGTTTCGGCCTCAATTGCGATATTTTCAATTTCTGTCAGGAGCTCCTGTTGTTTCTTGCATTCAACAGGGAGATCAGCAAGAAATGTTTCTATGAGCAGTAACCCTTGGTAAAACTTTTTCACCTCATGAAATCTCAAATCAGCTTCATCCTTTTGTAACTCGCGGAGATTGTCTAGAATATATTCAAGGAACTCCATCAAAAACTCATCCATCCTTGGGATTCCTATGAATGACGTCTTAGAGAATTTCAGCTTGCTGAAATAAGAACTAATGACCTCAAAGTTAATCGGAATGAACTCCAGCAGATTTATCGCAGCATCATTTAGAGTTGATGATGCAGAAATGATGGGACACATCTGTCCAATTACTCTCTTGATGAACTTAAACTTAAGAAACAATCTGAAATGCAGGAGACTAATTTCCCACAACAAGTTTCCTTGCTTTGAATTATGAGAAAGAAAATTAATGAGTGATCCTGTATCGGTAGTGACAGATTGTACCAGGGTCAGAACATCAGTTATCTTAGTTTGCTCTTTGCACTTGTTAAACCAATCCATGAGAAAAGCTCTCAAGAATATCAGCTCTAGCTTAACATTGTCAAGAAGATCCTTCAAAGGAGCCATCAAGGTGGCGTCATGTATCTGTAGCTCGATCAAGCTGCTCTCTACCTTGACATGATTAAGCTTCACCTGCAAAGGAAATGGCAGAGTTATCTTGGTTTCCCCTTGGCACTGCTCCAATGAATCCATGAAAAATGTCCGCAAGAATATCAACTCTTCCTTGACATTGACAATCAGATTCTTCAAAGGATCCATATCGGTATGTTTACGTAGCTTAGTCAGACTGCTCTCTGCCATAACACAATTGAGCTTCAGTTGCAAAGGTAAAAGCATTGAATGATCCTCATAAGATGAACGGACAGCAAATTCAGCCTCAATTGCGATAGTTTCAATTTCCATTAAGAGGTCATTTTTGTTCTTACATTCAATGTACTGACTTGGGGGATCAGCAATAAATGTTACTATAAGCAACAACCCTTGGTAAAACTTTTTCACCTCATTTGCAGCAGTAACAAACAAATTGGTTTCATCCTTCAGTAGTACACTGAGATTGTTGAGAATATAGTCAAGAAACACCATCAATACGTCATCCATCTTCGGGCTTCTCAAATATATTGTCTTTGTGGATTTGAGGATGCTAAAGTAAGAATAAATAATCTCAAAGTTGATAGGAACAAAGTTCAGCAGATTTATTAAAGGATGATCAATCACTGTCGTGGATTCATAAATAACGGGACACATCTGTCTAATCACTGCCTTAATGAACTTGAACATAAGAAGCAATGCAAAATGCAAGAGATTGATTTCTCCGTCCAAGTCTCCTCGATTTGAATTGAAGTAACGAGAGCTAATGAGCAATCCTGCTCCAGTGGTCACAGATTGAACCATGGTCAAAACAACACTTATTTGAGTTTGCTCTTTGCACTGCTCCAATGAATCCATGAGAAAAGTTCTCGAGAATATCAGCTCTTCCTGCTCATCTTTAAACAGACATTTCAAAGGAGCTATCATGGTGGCGCTATGTTTTAGTAGCTCAATCAAACTGCTCTCTACCTTTATATGGTTAAGCTTTATTTGCACGGAAAAAGGCACGGTAATTTTAGTTTTCCCTTTGGTCTGCTCCAATGAATCCATGAGAAAACTTCTCCAGAATAACAGCTCATCCTTGACATTGACAATTAGATCCTTCAAAGGAGAAATCACGGTGGCTTCATGTTTCCGTAGCTCAATCAGACTGCTCTCTACCTTGATAAGATTAAGCTTAACTTGCAAACGGAAAAGCACATGCTCTACTTCAGTAGTCTTAAACAATGAATTGACGGCAGCTTCAGCCTCAATCACTATTGTTTCAATTTCAGTCAAGAGATAATTTTGTTTCTCACATTCAGTGTACTGGATCGAGGTGTCAATGAAAAATGTTACTAGAAGCAACAATCCCTGGTAGAACTTTTTCACCTCATTTGTAGCAGTAGCAATCAAACTGCCTTCATCATTCAGCAACTCTTGGAGATGATCGAGAATATATTCAAGAAACCCCATCAAAACCTCACCAATCTTCGGGCTACCAAAGGCTGATGTCTTTGAGGATTTTAGCATGCTGAAATATGAATCAATGACATCAAAGTTAATAGGAAGAAAGTCCAGAAGCTTTCTCATAGGATGGTTTGATTCCGATGAATCAAAAATGACGGGACACGTTTGTCTGTTTACTGCATTGACAAATTTAAACTTAAGAATCAATTGACAATATGCAATATCCATTTCCATGACCAAATCTCCTTGCTCCAAATCATTTGAAAGAGAATTAACGACAGATCCTGCTTCGGTGGTTACATATAGAACCAGTGACAAGACATCAGTTATCTTAGCTTGCTCTATGCACTGCTGCAATGAATCCATGAGAAAAGTTCTCAAGAACATCAGCTCTTGTTGAACTTCATCAATCAGATCCTTCAAAGAACCCACCGCGGTTGTTTCATGCAGCTTAATCATCTCACCCTCTATCTTGACATGATTAAACTTCACTTGCAAAGGAAAATGAGTAGTCTTGTCCACATCCTCATCATACAAGGAGTAGACCAGAATTGCCGCCTCACTAGCCACATCTTCAATATGTGATAGAAGTGAAAATCGCTTTTGGTCCTCAGTGCATGGTGTTGGCAAGTTCAGAAGAAAAGTACCAAGGTAAACCAATCCTTGTTGGAGCCATTGCATATGATCATCAAAGGTCACTTTCAAGCTGTCGTCACGACTTAGCAGTTCTTCTAGGTCCTCTCGGAGAGAACAAAGAAAACCTTCCACAACTTCATGAGCTATCATTGGAGTTTTTGATCCTGATAAATTTGATCGGCATTTTAGGACACACGTATAAATCTGTCTCAATTCAGGTCCAAAAGGACTTACTGTTTCCAACAGCTAGAGAACTCAGAATGCACCACTCTTTCCGGGTCCAAATATAAGAAAGATAAGTGTGCAGCAGTGTAAGCTACATCCTCAGCATGGGTGAAGAGATCACTCATTGTTGTCTCGTCCTCATAAACGCAAGAATATGCAGTAAAAATGAGGAATCTCAGAGATATCAGCTTCTTTTCAAGCACTTCGACTTTAGTGATGCGAGGGGTGATAAAATCCTTCATACAGTTCCATAGAACCAGAACACTCTCAAGCAAAGAATCTACAAATGTCATCATCTCGACAGTAATTCCGATAGTTGATCTCAATGGCTTTGAATCTTTGATTCGCCTAGCAATAAACGCCGGTTTTAGTTTTTTCAGCACCTTTGAAATCATTCTGATTGTGACCTTTGTCCGGCCTTCATTATTCATATGGCACCATATCTCATAAAAGTCATTGTGAGCTTCTTCAAATAAGGACTCAATTTGTGCAGAAAGCCTATTCTCGGGGGTACGTTTTTCCAATTGCTTGAGAAATTCAGCTACAAACTTTAGCTGTTTCTTAGCACCATCCAATTCATTATTCACCGAATTTCCCAAATGTCTACTCTTCACAGAGTCTATACCTTTTATAACTGCATTGCAAGAATCTGCAGCCATCTTAAATTCTCGATTAGTAATATAATCCTGCAAGTTATAAGTAAAGATCTTTAGAACTTGACACCATAAATAAAGCACCATCATTTACAATTACTAATTCTAACCATATCACAGAATTCTAACCATATTTATCAGTAAGCAAAAAGGAGCACAAGGAAAAAGTAAAGAAATGACTCGAGATCTATTTATCATAAGATGATGATTACGAACAAGGACATTCATAAGCCAGAATTCAGGGGCACATATGCAAGACTTGTTTGGTTACATCTATAGTATCGTTAGTCACATGTTTTGGTAGCTATTCAGTATATTATGATCAGTGGCGGATAAAAGATTTTCATTCAGGAGTGCATTTTGAATGCATTGGACCGCTGAACTAACCTTTTGCATGTTGTTCAGGGGATTTAAAATTTATATATGTACATAAACACAAACATATACCCTATATACACAGTGTAATTTTTTGCCAAGGGGTTCGAATGAACTCGTTCCTGCCCCTCTACATCGCCCCCTGATTGTGATCCCTTAAGAACTGAACTTGGGCGTGTTTTGATTAGAGAAATGTTGGAAGTTCAAACCAGACATAAAGTTTATGTCAATCACAAATGTCGAGACTCGATGTTCATTATTAGTGACCGTTAAGTCCCACATTAGCTGAGACAATGAGTCACGTCTCCTTATATGGTCTTGGATAATCCTCTCCTTTTTTCCTCACTATGAAGTGCTTGATTAATTTATTTTTATCAAAATTCAAAATGATATCTAGATATTAGATTGTCATGTTTTGAAATTTTACCTATCCTTTTGCATTCATAAACTTAATCTAGAATGAAACCTTCCAAATCATTAACACGAAAACGAATTCCTACGGTTTCCCAAACTAAGATTACAAAGTTATAAAGTATAATCAAACTAAATCAGGTTTATAAATATAGCCTAATGAGCCTTAAAATGCAAACTGAAGGTACTGAAGTTTTTTACAACAACTACATAAACTTCGATTCTATCGGTTTTCATATTAATTGTTGTTGCTACTGGTATTCACTATCTTTTCCTACGTGTTTGATATATGCTTTACTTGAGCCGAGAGTCTATCAGAAACAACCTCTCTACCCTTATAAGGTACGGGTAAGGCTGCGTAGACTACACCCTCCCCAAATACCACTTATGAGATTTCACTGAATATGTTGTTGTAATAAGTACTAGAATTTTTTTATATTTTCTACTGACATATTAATCTCATACGATACTAAAAGACTCCTAGAAAACATAAGATCTAAAGTAAACGTACTAACGTGACTAAAAGTCTAAAACATAATCCCAAGTAATAAGTATGTATCAACTATATATAACTTACTTTGATATGATGTAAAGCTCAAGTCCTTTGTTGAATCACCAAATCTGCAAATAAACAGACATTTAATTAATTCACTTAAATGAAGAAAAAAAGTCTGATTTTTTTTAAAGAAACAAAATAAAATTGGGGGTCTTACAAATAAGTGAAGATTAATAGGCTCAAATAGACAATCAAAGAAAATTAAAGCTCACCTTTGGTAATTTTGCTTTTTTTGTATACTGAAAAAAGAATGTTTAGAGGAAGAAGACTTTTTGATTAGTGAAAGATAATTTCTTGATGATCATATTAATTAATTACTAATAAAATAGCAGAGAAATTAAACAATGACTAAAAGAGTAGACTGACTAATGAATTGGTATTTTCTTAATGTATGGATGACAGATAGAGGAATATCAATTATAATATGCCATTTTGTCTCATTTCATGAAGTCAGAAAACACAAAGTAGAAGAATTGATTATTGTCATTTTTTATACGTAAAAGGGCCAAAAATATCCCTGTACTATTCGAAAAGGTTTAAAAATATCCATCATCCACCTATTGGGCTAAAAATACCCCTCAGTCAATATGTTTGGTCTACTATTACCCTTTAAACTAACAACCTTATATTTTTTAATTATTATCATTATTAATTATTACGTGACGTCTTTCTAATGGATAAAGTTTAATTCCAACCCACCAAACTTTCTCCTACCCCACCCGACCCATATTGACATCCCTTGACCCAAACCCAAATACAAGATCCATTTAAAAATAAAAAAAAATTGAATCATCTCTTCTCCCTCTAAACCTAATATCCTATTTTTCTTATTTTCCTTTTCTTATTAAGCAATTTCAAGATCAATTTCACTATAAGTTGATACAAGTGTGCTTATATATTTTTCAGTATAAGTTGCCCTTTTTTTTATAATTTGCAACTGTGAATGTAATCCTCACCAGCTAGCGTACATCATGTAAGGTAAGAGAAGCTCATTGAAGTAATCTGAAATGCCAAGACTTTTAACAGAAACTAAAATTTAAAATCTAGATAGGCCTATTCACATTAAAAGATTAGTTTTATATAAGGCCTAACATCTGACATAAGCCGCACCAATTTTGCATCTTAGCAGATGATTTCATTCTGAACATTATTTGCATTGAGAAGAAAAAACTAAATCTATATTTCACTTGAGATTAATCTTGAAATTGCTTAATAAGAAAGGAGAAGAAGAAAAATAGGATATTAGATTTAGGGGGAAGAGATGATTCCATTTTTTAAAATTTTTAACGGATCTTGTATTTGGGTCAAGGGATGTCAATATGGGTGGGTGGGGTAGGAGAAAGTTTGGTGAGTAGGAATTAAATTTTATCAATAGAAAGACCCCACGTAATAATTATTATTAATAATAATTAAAAAATATAAGGTTGTTAGTTTAAAGGGTAATAGTGGACCAAAAAGATTGACTGAGGAGTATTTTTAGCTCAATAGATGGATGAGGGATATTTTTAAACCTTTTCGAATAGTACAAGTGTATTTTTGGCCCTTTTCTGTTTTTTATAAGACATACTATATAAATATGCTCTCTAACTTGACCTGAACTGATATTTATACATGTACCTTGGATACATGCTGGTCAAATTAGATATTTGAGGCTCAAATGCATGTATTTTGGATATATGCAGGTCAAATTAGATATAATTTATATCAAATACATTGTAACGGAGCATGATTCACATGTACCTGAAATATTTGGATTCTCTCTCCTCTCTCCTGTCCTGCTCATAAAGAAGGAGGGAGAAAGAGGAGGAGAAATGAGTGATTATGTAATTAGTTTAACGTATATATAATTATTTTAAAGTAAAAAGAGAAAAATCATACTAAGAACCTATCTTTCACTCATCAGAAAGTCTTATTCACTGTTTCCTGTGTATACAACAAAGCAAAATTACAAAAGGTACTGAGCTTTTGTTTGATTCTCTATTTGAGCATATTCTTAACTTATTTGGAAGACCCCCAATTTTTTTTTAAAAAAAATGTTTCCAGCCTTTTTTTTCTTCATTGAAGTGAATTAATTAAACCTCTGTTTAATTGCAAATTTGATGATTCAGCACATGAGTTGAGGTTGACAACGAATCAAAGTAAGTTATGGAACTATTGCAATGTGCATTTTGCTTTTTTGCTAATAAAGGGAAAAAATTTCAATGTTTTTTTACTTATATTACTCATGAGATTTATATGCCAATAGAAAATATAGAAAATTTCTAGTACTTATTATAACAACATACCTATTAGGAGAATTAGTAAGAGTGCACTATTTTAGGAAGATGTATATATTTAGGAGACTATTACCTTATTTACGATAGTTTTCATATAACTTTGGCTACAACGTCTATACAAAAGGACAATTGTCATCTTCTGCAAATCCTTTCATTATGAGGTCCTATAAGTGGTGTTTAGGGAGGGTGAAGTCTACGTAGCGTTATCCTTAGGGATAGAGATGTTGTTTTCGATAGACTCTAAGCTCGAGTAAAACTTATATGAAACAAGTAGGAAAAGAAAATACAGTAAGGAATACCAGTAGCAACAACAATCAATATGAAAACCGATAGAATTTAAGTCTAAGTTGTTGTTGTTAGAAAATTTCGTAAGGATATATTTGTAAACCTGATTTAGATTGATTATACTTTATAACTTTGTAATCTTAGTTTTGCAAACTGTAGAAATTCGTCTTTGTGTTAAGGATTTGGAAGGTTCCATTCTAGATTAAGTTTGCTTGCTCCGGGTACCATTTGAACGTAGGAAAAGATTTTGGACTCTGTAGCGCGCATCTACAATGTAGTCTTAGGGAATTTGAGAGTCTTGTTTGCCAGTTGAGTGAACCCTTTTTCATTCTAAGTGAATTTTGTGAGGTTATTTCTCTTGATATTTTGTACTCTCTTTTATATAGTGGATTGCTCATCTTCACCCGTGGATGTATGTCGGTTGACTGAATCATGTTAAGTTATTGTCTCTTTTGGTATTTTTCTCAATTTTTTTTCTTCTTATTTATCGTCTTTCAAGATTGCTTTTCTAGCTTCCGCATAACATCTAATTATTTTGGTCCTAAGGGTATCTTCCTATCACTTTACAAGTCAATGTCACATATGACACGGTATCAATGAAATGAAACAAGATAGAGTTGTCTAAAGTTGAAAAAAGGAGTTACTCTACTTTCAGAATATGGTTAGCCTTAGTAATTGTAAATGTTGGTGCTTTATTTATCGTGTCAAGTTCTAATTAAAGATCTTTATTTATAACTTGCAGGATTAATACTAATCTAGAATTTAAGATGGCTGCAAAGCTTTGCAGTGAAGTTATAAGTAGTATAAACTTGGTGAAGAAAAGACATTTGGGAAATTCGGTGAATAATGAATTGGAGGGTGCTAAAAAACAGCTAAAGTTTGTACATATATTTCTCAAGCAATTGGAGATACATAACCCTGAGAATAGGCTTTCTCCATAAATTAAGTCGTTATTTGAAGAAGTTTAGAATGACTTTTATGATTTTTATGAATTAGAATATTCAACTTGTGTGGAACGATAGCAGAACGAAAGACAATCAAAGAGACGGATTACGGGGACTACTTTTCAAACCCTAGGTCGGCAGGCAGCAGTCATGGCTACT